GGAAGGAAGGAAGGAAGGAAGGAAGGAAGGAAGGAAGGAAGGAAGCTACTGGTACTGTAGAGAGGGACCAGGGTGGGCCTGCGCTGACCTGGGTGTCCATACAAGCCAGGCATGATATACCCAATGACTCTGGCCTTGTCTCTAAAGTGCAGTTCCCTCCTCTTGAAGGTACCGCCCTGGCGATGGACCCAGACTCCTGTTCTGAACTCCAGCTTCTCTCCTTCATGGGACTGTCCATCTGTGGTGAGATTCCTGGGCTCTGAGCCCCCATGTCAGCCATGTGAAGACTGCACATGCCTGCTCCAGTCTCCACCTATGGGAAGCAGCTCTTTCCAGGCCTCTGTCTTCTGGCTTTCCAGACGGCACTAGCCCTGTAATCTGGGGGAAGGGGGTAAGCTCATTTTCTACTGTCAAGGAAGACAAAATAAAGTCTCCATGTCACTGGTCTAGAAGATTCCCTCATCCTCTGCAAATTCCCTCATCCTCGGCAGGCTCCCTCATCCTCGGCAGGCTCCCTCATCCTCTGTGCACTGCGAGCTATGTGCAGCACAGAGTATCCTACAGCATGGAGGTGGCTCTACCAGAACCTCTCATTTCTAAGTCTCTTTAGGTTATTCCTTGAGAAGTTTTGGCAATTAATGAACAAACCACTAATGGTGCCAGTCTGGGTAGTCAGGTCTGGCGCTGCACTTATCTCCAGGAAACTAGGACTGGGGCTCCTGAGATGTCTTTTTCTTTCTTTCTTTCTTTCTTTCTTTCTTTCTTTCTTTCTTTCTTTTTTTCTTTCTTTCTTTCAACAGACTTAATTCACTTTATTTTCCTTGTATAAAAACCCTTATGTGGTGGCCACAGCTGCAGCCTGGGTCCTCTGAACAGAGACTCTGGTGTGGGCTTTCACAAGATGGTCGATGAATTCCTGATAAGGAGACTTAGTGAACACAGTCTCTTTCCAGAGGTCGGGGGTCAGGTAGCTATAGGTCTTGGAGGTGGCATCAAAGGTGGCCTTGGCAAAGTTGCCCAGGGTGGCAGTGCAGCCCCTGGCTGATGTGTAGCAGTCATCAATACCAGCCATCATCAGTAGCTTCTTGGGCACAGGAGCAGAGACGATGCCAGTGCCTCTGGGGGCAGGGATGAGACGCACCAACACAGAGCCACAGCGGCCTGTCACTTTACATGGAACAGTGTGGGGCTTGCCAATCTTGTTCCCCCAGTAGCCTCTCTGCACAGGGACAATGGAAAGTTTGGCCAGGATGATGGCCCCTCTGATGGCAGTGGCTACCTCCTTGGAGCACTTAACCAAGACCAACATGACCGTTGTAGTCCCCAATAGCGACAAAAGCCTTGAACCTAATCCGCTGGCCAGCCCAAGTCTGCTTCTGCACTGGCATGATCTTTAGAACCTCATCCTTTAGGGATGCGCCCAGGAAGAAATCAAAATCTCGGATTCCTTAATGGGCAGGGAGAACAGGTAGATCTCCTCCAGCGACTTGATCTTCATGTCCTTAACCAAACGGCCCAGCTTGGTGACGGGGATCCACTCCTTGTCTTCGGCTTTACCTCCACGAGCCCTGCGGCCGAGGCCACGTCCTCGACCATGACCACGAACGCGGCCCCTGAGACCGCTGCTGAAGCCTCCAGGGAAGCCTCTGCGGCCTCCTAATCCTGGGCCCCCGGGTCCTCCGGGCCCTCCCGCTGCACCAGCGTCATCCACCATTTGGTGTTTTCCCGAAGTAGAAAGAAGCGAGATGTCTCTTTCTTGTGACAGTCCAGCTGCACAGTGACAACCTATAGAGTGGCCCTGGAGCCTCCTTCTAGAGCTCTAAGCCAGGAGTGGTGTCCCTTAGATAAATGTCCCCATTGCAAATTAATAAAAATCCAGATATTCAGTCCTCATTCTGTAACTGTCCCCCTTTCTAGGACAGCCTTGTCTCTATCATTAGCCCCTCCACCCATGTGGTGTCACCTAACTCTCCCCATCACTCCTGCTCCTTGGAAACTCAAGTTCCTTCTAGAGTGCAGTCCATTCACAAAGCAGACCTCTGTTGTCCCCAGCAAGGGACCCCCCACAGATGTCCATAGCCACAACCTCCTCAGCTCTGAGAAAAGGACCAAAGCCTAAGGCCTCCAGTCCTGACTCCAATCAGGGAGCCAGAGCACAAGTTGACAGGAATGACAGCTCATTTCCTGAGACTGCGGCAGCCCAGATGACTTCCTTTTCAGTCAGCTGTAAGATAAATGCTGACAATAGATCAAGATTTCTTTTGAGGCTTAAGGTGAGGCACAGCCCTTCCTTTCCTGACCTGGCCTCCCTGAAATTGTTGCCTCATGACCCCAACATGGCAGAGATAGCTCTGGATGTCAGTATCACATCCCTGTCATAGGAAGGAGAATAGGAAAAAGCAAAGAACACATTTTCCAGCCGTCTGAATCTGTCTTTCTTTATCTGGAAAGAATATGGTTCCATGTAGTAGATTTCTGCCTACATGTTATTGGTCAGGGCCTTGGTCACATGACCACTCAAGGACAATCTGCTCCTTGCTTTGTTAAGAGAAAATATGATCTTTTTTTTTTCCTAGGAGAAACAGGACTGACTTAGCTCAGACTTTCTGCATATTTAACTATTAACATTTTGAACCATAAAATTCTTCATTGTGGGGCCAGACTGCATTGTAGGGTGTTGAGCACCATCTATTCTTACATTGCTGGAGGACCGGGTCTTCTCTAGCTGTGACACCAATGATGGCTCATCTCCTGGGAACAGGAGAGAAGTCATATACTGTTGAAAACTAACTTGATGGATCATGGTTAGTCCCCTACAACGGAAGGAATACACAGAAGGAAGGCCTAGCCTCTTCTCACATAGGCTGGGGTTATGCTGGCTGGAAAGAGGGGGCTGGGGAAGACTTGGGTCCTCAGTGAGCTTCTTTTGAAGAGGAATATTAGACCTCTGTGATCAGCAGCGGATAAGTGACCCTTTCTCTAGGTTTTCTATGCAAGGTTCACCTCCATGCCTTTAGAAGTCATTTTTCGTATTCCATTCAGGTGTGTAACTGTAATGGTAGGAAAGCTGGACTGACTTAAGTTCTGTCATCATTATCAGAAACCAGAAGGCTCGCTCAATATTTTTAGCTCAACATGCATTCATTATGCTTGTCCAAATAGCACTGAATTCATTCACCGAGTCAATAATTCTAGCAGGTAATTCTGCAATGAGATATTGGGGTCTACATCTTCTAATGCCAGCGTCTATGAAAAAATACAGTTTAACCCCCTTAGATGAGCAAATGAGTGTATTTGACACTTGGGGCTTTATTTGCTGTGAGGAGGAACATGTAGGAAATAAGAGTCCCATCTAGCCTTCCACCCGACCTTGGCTCCTTCAAGGACTCCTTTTGCAGGTTGGCTCCATGCATGGCCAATCTTTCTTTACTTCTGTGACTTCTCAAGAGGTTCCATCATCTTTGCTCATGGTCTAAGGAGGGCCTCAGGGTCCAGAGTTAAAAGGTTGACATTTACTTTCCTTATCCCTTAGAAGGGGCTAACTACGAGGAACTGTAGTAGGGCCCCAGCCTCCCTAAGAGGGAGGGAAGATTTAGAAGCAACAAAGTGAGGAAGCAGACCTATGGCTCTGCTTTCAGAGTGGAATCAATATGGTTAAAGCAAGAGGAGTCATATGAGCACACCCCTAAGGAAGTTGCAAGTGCTAACTCTCCCCCTGTGTCCAGCCGTCCATTCAGGCCATGGAGCCAGTTGGGGTCATCTCTAGAGACCAACTCAAAACCAGAAAGAAGAAAAGCCCCTGTCTCTTTGGCAATGAAGCTGAGATGGGGACCCTGTGGTGGACCATGGTGCTGGTTCTCTTTCCTCATGCAGAAAAGCCATGAGGATGAGGAGTCTGCCACAGAAAGAACACAGCTGAGAGGCAGGAAAAGAATCTAGTCACTATCAAGCACCTAGCTCTGGGAACCTTCCCTCCTCTTCTGGGACTTGATACATAAGGCGCTCAGCTTACCCTCAACTGCAACCAATGCGGTTTGGATTCTGTCACTTGCAAACACCTAAAACACTGTGCCCTTTACTTGGCAGTCTATAATACACTCAGTACTACTGTCATCAAACTCTTTATAGAAATGTCCCATTTCCCCACCGAGAAAGTAGCATTGCTGACTGGTGGCTTGGGCTTCTTATCCCATCATTCCCTGGCACCGTGTACACATAAGGCAATTCTGCTATATCTGTGGACGGGATAGTATGAAGACTAGAAAGACACAGTAGTAGAGAGTCTCCCTTGGTTCTTAACTTGCATCCAGCTGCCCAGACTACATGAGAACTGGCTAATTGTTCTGGGAATTGTTCCACCCAATGTGATTCACTTTAAGCCTTGGACACTTTTCCTGTAGTGAATTTTCTTGGATTCCCACCTTTGCTGTTTCTGTTCCTGGTGTCACTCCCCTCCCTCCCTGTTGACTCCAGGTCAGCACTAAGAGAATATTGTTCCCTGTGACTAAGCTGCCACTTCAGCAAATTAAAACACACGCCCTAAAAGGCATCTGAATGGCCCTCAAAGCTGAATCATTGGTCAGAATAGGGAACTTCCTTCATCAGAGCAGTAAGGTTGTTTGACAAGACCATGCCAAGTGCCATCCTCTTTCTGGTCAATGCCATTGCCACCCAAGTCCCTGCTCAAGCCTGCTGTCTGAGTCTTGAGATCACAGGAGAGCAGATGGCCTACAGGCAGCCACAGAGGGAAATGGTTAGACTGCTGGGGGTTCACCCTATCATCTGAATATTTTCATACATTGTATTCAAAGTGCTTTATATATTAAGGTCAACATCGCTTGGCTCTCCACTGTGCCCGTGAAAGGAACGAACACACAGATATGTGTAAATATATCGTTTATGTGTTATTGTTGAATCTCATAAGCAGATGGAATGTAGGCTTCTGAGTGGAAACCAAAGGTGTATTTCTTTGAAAAGATGAATTCAGCTGATGGACCATCTTAAAAGTGAGCTCCTGCACAGATGGAGATTCCCAGGATCCCCAGGAGGCCAACCTTGGCGCAGGCTCCAGTGGCTACCTCTTCTGGAAATGAGAAAAATGTAAAGAAATAGTATTAAAAATGCATTTCCATGCAGCAAGCCAATCTTTTCAAAGGGTCCTGAAGGGGAGGGGCTTGTAATTTCATAGCACCAAGATTTTAGCTGAACTATATTACTACTACTAATAATAAATTAATTTACACAAGACCGACAAAGCTGCAGTCATGCCCTCCTACCTCTCTAAGTGCTTATGAATGCTGACTTTCTGGGCGAATGCACAGCAAATGCTAACACCTCCTTCTTCATCTCCCACTACTCTGACAAATGCCTTTTGTTGAGTTAATTGTCCACTAATTCTGGACACTTTGCCATAGACATTGCAAATTCATCAATGATCGCAGTGCCCTGTGACACCTGACCAACATCCCCTACCTGTCCACTCACTCTACCTTATCTTCCTGGACCACTTATGCCAGATCCTGGCAACACTCCTAGACATCTCCAGAGAACACTGTTTGAAAGATGCTCTGGAAGTGTTTTCCACATGGAGAACTTACATGTGAAAAACGGGATCCCAGGGCTTCCCTTGAGGGACCTTCCTGACCACATTTGTCATTCTCACTCCTTCACGTTCCCACTGGACTGAAGCCCTCAGAGGCAGAGTTTTGCCCATTTCTGCACTCCTGACATCTCTAGCAGTTCATTCACACAGTAGGACTTCAATTCCTAAAGTAAACTTAACTAAGTCTTGTTTTCACTTAAGTGTATTTCACACAGCTGCTCTCCCACCTGACCCCGACTGCGAGGCGTACATCAGCTTCCAGAGCTTGTTTGGCCTCCTTGGTACTCACTTGGCTTTGTAACCACCTCCCCCTCATACAGGGGCATGTTCTTGCACAGCTGCTCAATAGGCGACCCAAACAGGAACCAATCCACCTTCGTGAACAGAGACTTCAAAGGGTTGTATTTGACCCAGGTGTACTCTCCAGAGTCCATGGTGTTCATCGTCTAGGTGACGTAACAGAGAGCAGTTTTGAAGAAGCTGGTGAGCCTGGTGTACCTTACTCTAAGTTGTGAATGGCTTTCTCTTTCCAGTGGTTAAATAAAGGACATTCAGAGATTTCAAGTCATGGTTTCCTGTGACTACTCTGCCTGGAAGAAAAGCTCAATTTTTACCCGTAGTATTTCACTGCAGTAAACTCACAGAAGGAAAATCTCCTGAAAAGGAAGACACGGATGGGGCAGTGCAGACAGGGTCAAAACTAGTTGTCTAGCCTTGTTGCACTGTGTGGAGACTCCCATACTCTGGTATTATTTGTCTGTGTCTTTGAATTCCTGAATATCATAAATGTACTCCATTTTCAACCACACTGCATCTTAGGTCTCACCTCCAAGAAGAAAGGTTCACCAGCTCCCTCTCCAAAGACAGTTAGTTCATTTAGGTTCTTATAAGTTCATGTTTTCAGGGCTCTATGATGAAAACTGAGCTGAGATGAACTTCTACTCCTCCTTCCCCCGAATGTGAAAACACATGAAAAAGCCGAGCATCATATACATGGAATTATTAGTTATGGTCCACTGTCTCATTCACATCTCTCTGTAGGCAGCAGCATGGGCTGACTCAGGAGACTTTCCAAGGAATCCCAAGTTACCTGCTTCTCGTACAGGTACCGTTGGAGTTTGTCCAGGGCAGGGATGGCTTTGTGGTCCATCTTGAGGACATAGCAGGCTCTTCGGGAGAGGACCCGGGATGCAATGTAACCCTGAAGGAGCAACAGCACAGTTACCGACCCTGAAGTTTCTGGGATTCTGATTGGGTGAGATGGATGTTGAGTCTTAGAAGAAAGGATTGAGTATCCACTGTGAGTTAATGTCATTGTCTGTCAGTCTGAAATTATGTCCACTCATCTTCATACGAAGTTTTTTGTTTCCCCACTCCTCTTTTGCACACCCTAGAAGCTGGCCTATGTGCTTTGTGCTCTGGAATCAAGGTCTACAGCAGCGGGTTTAAAGACTGAGGAGGAATAACTCTCTGCCTCTTCCTTTGTGTTCTATCTAACCTGTCCTTCAATTTCGACTAACTACAATATCCTTTAGAACTGTATCGTTCAATACCATAATGACTCCACATGTGGCTGTTTAAATTCAAATCCAATGATGTTTATAATCTATTCCATGATGTATTTTAGGTACACAGTAGTCACAATGAATAGAGGCTTCCATTTCAGAAACATAGAGCATCTCAACCTGGCTCGACATTCTAGAAGTCTTCTGGGCATGCTTACACCTACCCTCTTCTCACATGCTTTACCTGTTCTCCCCTCCGTTCCCTCTTCTCCATCCTTCTCTACCTCAGACTCTATCTACCACATGGAGGGAGTGGACTGAGGAAGGCTCAGTTTGACATGAGGAAGGCTCACAGGCCATCACACTTTGACCTTGAATGGACATTTTCTGTGATGCTTCAAATACTTAAACAAGACTCTACTTCCTATTTTTCAAATCTCAAAAGTTCTTAGTACCTAAAATTTAACAATAGATTGAGGCTCTGAGGCTGATGAGAGAGGAAGGGGTTTAAACAAAGTCTCCACAAGTAATTTTTAAGCCACTTTTGGGATTTCCATGAAATCTATTTAAAGATAATTTTAGTTGCACTTCCTGTTGAAGATTTCAAAGACGGTACACTCAGAAAGTGGTGTGGAATTCCCAGCAGCTCCAGAAAGAATGCATGTGGGGAGTTTTGAGAAGATAAAGGGAAAAACCAACTTCAGACACCCATTGTTGGTGTCCATGATGGGTACCTCTGGGTAAGGCAGCCCATAATAAGTGCTGGAGGAAGAAATTAGTAAATTAATCTAAATCAGTGAGTGGATGGAGAACAAAAAGCTTTCAGAAGAAGTTTCTAAGACTTATTACCCTGGTAGAAAACATTGGGAAGGCTTTATAGCAAGTATCATGTTGTCAGGTCTACAGAAATAATTTAAGTTTGTGCATTGCTTTGAGTTTCTGCTCATTTTCTATATGTTTGTATCAGAAGTGCTCATTTATTCATCCAATAGGCACTTTCCTGTTTATGTTCTAAGCATTGCTTTGATCATTCTTCCAGTCCATGTCTGGGCCAGAAGAGGTACAACATCATCACTGCTGAGGAATTCTATGTTTCTTTTTCTTAGAGATGGTTTTATTTGCTCGCTTGATTATTTCAAGGGAAAGGAAGAAGTGAAGAAAAGTTTAAGGACATGGAAAGATGGATAGATAGATAATTTAAATATGTACTAAATGGCTGACCCCTCCCTTTAAAAAAAACCAATCTTCTATAAAGTTCCCCTTGCTGCTTACATGCTTGTAGTCAAAAATAGTGGTTGAAGAACACGACCCTGCATGGATATTGATTGTGGCAGTGTTCTTCTGGTTGTCAATGGTCACTGTCTCCTGGACACTGCCGCCATTGCTGCTTGGGGTGAAGATGTTAAAAACCTAGAATTGATGACAAAGATGAAATAAGTTTTCCATAAATGGTGTGTGTTGAAAAGCAGCTCTTTCACTGCGGTAAAACTTTCACTGGAAGCCCGTGGTTTATTATACTATGCCTGAGAGATCTGAAGCAATGCCATTGCAAGGGGAATGGCATTCAGCCCGTTTTAGTGTGGTAGGTTACATTGTGAAGGCATTGCAGTCAGAAATAAATACCCAGTTCATCTTTCCCAACGCTGGGATTCCATCTCAGTGAAGACATGTGGACTATCCAGTCCTTGGAATATCCAGGTCTCTCATATCCTCCCCCACAGCACTAAGAAGCCAACTCACCTCTTTTGCCTGAGACTGTATTCCAAAGATGGTCAGCACCACCAGAAATGCCACCTGAAAAACCACATCAATTCTCTGTGAGGTAGTCACTCAATGAGGGGAGGTCAATAGGAGACAACGGGCACCTAAGGACAACAGCCAGCTATTATAGGTGACCAGCAGTCTATTTTTCTACTTTAAAAGGTAGAAAGCACAATTTGCCCACTCAGCAAGCACTTGTTGAGTTTGTGTCATTTGTTAGACACACGGTGGGCATGTGAGCAGAGAAGGACTCTCTTGCCAGGGGAAAACCTGACTTGAGTAACACCAGCTTTGGGAAATAGTGGATAAGTTATGTCCTCTAATCTAAGAGGAAAATGTCAATCCCTTGAGACTGAGGTAATGAGCCAATTAAAATGAATCTGCGAGTGACATGGTCACAGTGGGCTTTTTAGAACAGTTATGGAAGGAGGGTACTGGGACCACACTTAACCTTTGACCTCAAGGAAGGCACCCATCTGCTCCCACAGCCCAAATCTCAGGGATGCTATGGACTCAGCAGGGCCAGTGGGCCCTGGGCCTATACAATGCAGCTCTGATGCTGTGCTAAGCTTGGTTCCAAGTCTGACCTGACATTGTCAGCAGGTGTCTTCTCTCTTCTGATCGCCACAGTGAAGTTTACTGCCAGTTACGGTACTGGTGTGTAGGAGGAAGATCATGGGAAGGGCAGACACTTCCCAGAACTCCCTATAGGGTTACTATCCCCCTTTGCCACCCTTCCTCACATCTTCTCCTGGTGCCTGGGGTGGAGACTAACAACAACTTACATGCAGACACCCTACAATCCACTTACACGGGGCTCCCCCGCCCCACTCTGGGCAGCTCTGGAGCCTCAGACACTCCTGCATGTTCTATTTAGTGGGTCTAGGCTAGAAGTTGGGACATGTGAGTCAACAAACCATCTCAGTGGATGCCTAGAGAACACAGGAAGTGTCCTTGGCCCCCAGATCCCTCCTACACAAACCAAGGTTGGTACAGCTGAGCTGTAAGTTTCTACTGCAGGCTTAGATCCCCTTCTTTGAAATCAAGAGGCATTGGGAGAAGATACTGTTCATCTGACAGTCTTTGACGCTTAAGTGTGCAGCTTTCTCAATTAGCTGAGTGAAAACGAGAGGCGGCAGAGGCTGGGGGAGGGCTTCCATCCTGTATCTGAACACGCAGGGTGGAGCCATGGAATCAGGTTTCAGATGGGGAAAATGGAGTCACTAAAGGTTCATTTTTACCTTAATAAAGAATTTAGACACGAGGGCACTCTGGTTGCTTTAAGTTTACCTAGTCACTACTGCGCATAGAGCCCAAGACAGAAAAACCACGTCCTCAATCCCTCGTTTGCAGATTTGGAGAATTCAGTCTCCTCAACTTCATAAGGAGGGCAACAATACCTGGTGTGCACTGTGGGCACAACAAACAGAGGTAACAAAAAGCTGGGGCTCAGCAAGGCTTGGGGGTACTTGCTATCATTCTTATTAGCATTGTTTTTTAAAGTACCACTTCTCTTTCAGATGAAAAATGCAATTGCTCTCAAATTCCTACACCCCTCACAAAGCAGTGAGAAGGGATTACTATTAATCAGACTTGGAAACAAGCTTAGTACAGCATCAGAGCTGCATTGTGTAGGCCCACGGCCCACTGGCCCTGCTGAGTCCACAGCACCCCTGGGATTTGGGCTGTGGGAGCAGATGGGTGCCTACCTTGAGGTCAAAGGTTAACTGTGGTCCCAGTACCCTTCTTCCATAACTGTTCTAAATAATCCTCCAAATAAAATCCTCCAAATAAAATCTCTACATATTTCCATTTTTTCTTTGTGCAGCTTGAGTAAACCAAGAAATATAGGCAATGGATACACAAATATTCAACATTATTCCCACCCCAAACTCTGTTAGTTCAACCCCAGAAGCACAGAGGTGCACAGTGTTTGTCTAAGACCCTTGATATCCACAGCGCATTGGGTACTAGCAGCAGCAGCAGTGAGGCCATGGAGAACACGAACAGATACTCACGGGGGTTTTCATTGTGCCTGAAGAGAAGGAGCTGGAGTGAGTGTGGATGCCTGTGCAGCATCCAGCCTTTATATCGGGTTAAGATGTGGAAATCTCTCTCCTGAGTGGTCATGTCAGAAAAGAGCAAGTCCGTATCTCAGACACACCCCAGCAAACTCCCTTATCTGAACAGAGACCTAACCACATCCCAGGTATCAGGGAAGTTTGTTAGTCAGTGCTGAAAACTCCCCATTGGTCACTCTGCAAACACTCCCAGCTTATCTGTCCAGCCTGGGCTCCCGCCCTGTAACAACACTGCAGACACTTGCTCTACCCACATTGACACTGAAGGAGCATGCTAGCCCCTCTCTACAATGTAAAGTCCTTAAGACTTCCGGGCCCCACTCAGGGTCTCTTTACCACTGCCCAGCTTGTTGAATCTGTCTGCATCAGCATCAGATATGAAAACAGAGGTGAGGATAGTGGCTGGGGTCTTTGCTTGGAATAAGACATGGCTGACTTCCTGTCCTTTAGAGTAAGTGACAGTCTGCAGAGGTTCATGAGGAACAAGACATGGGAGTCTACCAGCACTGCCTAAATGTTTCTGGTGGGGCTTGTCTAGGGCATCATTACCTTAAGAAATTCTCAGATTTTAAAAAGATTGAGAGGGGAAAACAGAGCTTAGTTTGAGTAATTTTTACTGCGCAGTTAGAAATCGCTAGTTGGATTGTGATGGGTGGGGGAGGAGTTGTTTTTAACACGGATTGTGAATTGTGAAATATTGAGCAAGTAGCTAAAATGAACAATGTTTTAGAGAAGGGAGTTTTTAGAAGTGAGACATTTAAGGGTTCCTCAGTTCTGTGGAACTCTGCTGCCTTGGCTGCTTGGCTGGGATGAGGGAAAGGGTGTGTCATTTTTCTAGGTCACTGTGGCAGCAACGACGACAGTTTTGTAGGACATCTGCCAGTGCTCTCTCATCCCTGACTCCAGTGACACGAAGAAGCAAGAAGGCCAGGGCTCACGACAGGATTGCTTCCAAAAGTACGGGTGCCCACTGCCACGTTTTCCCATACCCAGACGTCCATGGACCTAATGATGACACTGTTAACATTTATGAAGCATGTCCTGGTGCTTTTTAAACACATTGTGCATATTAATTCAGTTGTACTTATGCTCCTGGGAGGAATGTCAAGATGCAGGGAAGCTAAAGTAACTCCCTGCAACCACTCAACCTCCAAAGGCAGGAGCTGAGGCTTGAGCATGGTCCGATGCCAGAGTCCACTCTCTTAGCCACAAGTCCTCTCAGACTGAGACAACACAAGTTCTCACCTTGATGAGGTGGGGGCACGAGCAGGCTTCTGAGTCTAGATTGCTCCCAGCTCAAAGACAGCCTTGGAAATTGTGAGGCTTGGCCACAACTCAAGTGAAAACTTCAGTAGGGGAATGTGCAGCTAGCTGCATTGGAAAACATTGCTAAGAATGACACCCCTGCCTATGCCTCCCAGTTTCAGAGGGAGAAAAACCACAGACATGGAGGGACCGGTGCCAAGCACATCCTCACCTGGGATCTGCTGCAGCTCCGCAGGTCTGTGAGGCAGTGTGGGCGTGTGGACCTCCAAAGCTTGCACTTACAGTGTTGTTTCAATTCCCGCAGGCATCGTTCTTTATAATTTTTACTTTTGGTTTTGCTTTTAAAATGTTTCCAATGTCCTTAATGCATTTTCCTACATTTTCTTAAAGTCCTGCTTTTCACATTTAATTTTACTATTACTTCTGAGTGTAGTGTGAGTTCCAGTGCAATTTTTTTCCACTTAGACATCCAGAAGTTCCAACATCTGTTAGCAAATAGTGTAGCTCTTTGCCACTAACTTCTAAAGCCATGCAGTTTCCATGGAAATAGCCTCCAGCCTGCTACCTCAATGCTTTATTGGTTCATTTATTATCCAGTGATGATGACTCCGAGATCTACAGATGGGTTCTGACACTCAGCAGAGCGAATCTCCCAGTGTTGCTATTTCTGATGTCCCCGTCTGTTCTGTGAGCTTCCTCAAGCACCTGTTGTGTTCCTTTTTGTTTTTTTCTTCCTTGGTTGTGACAGAATTACTTTGTTTTTTGCCTAACATCTTGAGTTGAATATTGCTCTGTCACATTGAGTCTCTTTTGCTATGTTAAATGGAAGCATTGATAAATAATGTATTTACCACTAAGCACATTTTATTTTCATCATGTAACTATTTTACCTTAAAATTTTTTAAACTCTTGCTGTGATTTTTCCTCTTTAGCCCAATTATTATGGTATTTTTCAATTTCTAATATAAAGTTTTATTCTCTCTATTCTCTCTCTCTCTCTCTCTCTCTCTCTCTCTCTCTCCTTCCCTCCCTCCCTCTCTCTATTTTCCAGCTTCCACAAAGTGAAGAGAACTCCTCTACAATGTGCTGTCATCACAATGAACTAGGCCACAATTCCAAAGCAAGGAGGCAAGTAGCCATGAAACCCATGACACAGTGTGCTAAAGTGAACCTTCCTTCCTTCCAAGTCATTAGCTCAGGCATTTTGCCACAGTGACAGAAAACTGAACAACACAGAAAGAAATATTCTAGATAAAGGAAAGAAGAAGAGCCTGTAGGAGCAGAAAGAGGTGTGTGCACTGAGCTGGTCCCAAAAGTCACTCATCGGCACTCATGCCCTCCCAGCATGCTGTAGACTCCTGGCCGCCTCTTACTGTCCTCCTCCTCCCATGCTCCCTCTGCCATTTGCCTTCCCTCTCCTTCTCTCCATCCTGCATTATCACTTTTCATTCTCCTATTCCTGACAACTATCATTCTAGTGATAATTACTGAAGAAAGAGTCGGATACCCCAAATCAAGGATCTCTGAGAATTTGTTGACTATCAGAAAATATAAAAAACTATTAAAAACAGCAAATGTGGATGCATGGGAATGTAGGGGAAGCTGTAGCCAGCCCCTAAGCAGGTGTGACTACAGCTTCCTCTACATGGGAGTAGAATTTTTTTGTGATTTTTTTATTAGTTCAAATTAGAAACAAGCTTGCTTCACATGTCAATCCCTTCTCCCTCCCCTCCCCCCACCCTCCCCCCAACTTCCCACCTGCCCCCCACCCCATCCACCCTCCACTTCCCAGGCTGGGTAGGGCCCGTGACGGGGGCTCCCCAAAGTCCAGCACTTCATCCTGGGCCGGGTGCATAGGAGTAGAACTACATAAGAGTCCAAAACATAAATTGTACTGGCCGGATGCACCAACTGTAAACAAGAAAGATTACATTTATAGCATCCATTGTTCTTTATGAAAATAGTAACTCATTTCCTATGATGGCCATCTTCCCTGTCCTGACCCTCAGCTGGAGAGAAAGAGCAAAGAGTTCCTAAAATCACCTTCAGACATTGACAGGAGGGCTGACAAAATGCACCAAGAGTATCTGGCCAACACAGTAAGCTCAGAATGGAGCCACCCTAAAATCATTACTATTACTGTAGACAGAGTAACCTCATAAATCATCAGAGAATTTGGGACTCAGGCAGCATTATTAACTTTAAATAAAAGTAAGATGTCTGGGAAAATCTCCAAGCATATTAACTTTAGAAATCACCTTTAAATAAGCCATGGGTGAAAGAAGAAGCCATTAAAGAAATGAAGGAATATTTTTAACTTTTTAACTAAATGGACATAAAATATGATGTCAAATGTTTATGTTAGGATAGTTGCCTTAAGAAATTTGAAAAAGGGAGCCAGAAAGATGACTCAGTGGTTAAGAGGACAGCACTGTCTGCTTTCCCAGAGGATTCAAGTTTGATTCCCAGCACCCACATGGCAGCTCACAACTGTCTAAAACTCCAGTTCCAAGGAATCCAGCAACCTCTTCTGGGTGAGTGGGGTGCAAAGCCAGGATCAGGGACAGGTAGCAGCTGTTTTCTCTGGGAAGTTTTGCTGGTTCCCTATGATGTTCACAACTGTGGATCCTGGTGTCTTCTCCCAGCTTCCAGACTCTTGGAAACAGAGTCCTAAACAGGGCTCGTGTTCTCTGATTTCTGGCTCTCTTTACTTCTGGGAATACAGATAGCATTTTTCTCTGAACACTTAAAGTTGGGTACAGCCATATAACTTGTTGGGTTAGTAGATACCAGGAATCAAAAATGAAAAAAAAAAACCCCTAAATTTGAACACAAATATCACAGTTACTCCAAAATAACCTCAAGCAGAGGGTAAGGGAGAAATAGCAAAGACAAGAGGGGGAAGCCAGTGTGGCTAAAGATGGAAGGGATGAGAAGTGCCTGTGACTTGTTTAAACTATCAGTGAGGCTGAAACCCTGTAGTCAAACAGTCCAAGAGAATAAGAGGGGAAGGTATTGACTCTTCCCACCAGGAGCAAAAGGAAAATTACTTACAAAAAAATCTACACAGACATGAGGTACATACTGAAGGAAGCTTCGTTGGGGGGTTGTGAAATGTAAATGAAAACCATGATGTGTGTGAGGGTAATCTTGGTTGTGGATTTGATGGAATTTAAAATCACCATGGAAACAAATCTCTGGCAAGTCTGAGGGGTTTGATTATCCAGGTTAGGTTAATTAAGATGTGAAGACTCCCTGTATGTGGATGGGACCATTTCATGGACAGAGGTCCCAGACTGAATAAAGGGAAAGTGTAGTGGGCATGGGCATTTACGACTCTCTGTTTCCACACTATGGATGCAATGCAGCCAGCTGCCTCAAACTCCTGCTGTCCTGCCCTCCCTACATGATAGACTGTATCCCCTGGAACTGCAGGTCAAAATGAACCCTTCCATCTGTTTATCTGCAAACTTCATGATTTCGTTTTTATTTACAGCTGAATAGTACTCCATATGTGCATGTGTACATTTTCATTGTCCATTTGTCAACTGGAGAACATTTAGGTTGCTTCCATTTTCTAGCTATATGAATAGGGTGGCGTTAACATTGCTGAGCAAGTGTCTGTGGGTGAGACAATGAGTCCTTTGAGCATATGCCGAGGACTGAACTAGGAAAGATCACATCGAGAGAGGTGGCCAAGACCCAGGAAGACAAGCAATACATGTTCTCTCTGTGTCTCTGTCTCTGTCTCTGTCTCTGTCTCTGTCTCTGTCTCTGTCTCTGTCTCTGTCTCTGTCTCTGTCTCTGTCTCTCTCTCTCTGTCTCTCTCTCTCTCTCTCTCTCTCTCTCTCTCTCTCTCTCTCTCTCTCTCTCCTGTGGTTTCTGGCTCCAAATATTCAGTATTTTACCTGGAGTCTGCAGAAACCATCAAAGTGAAAAGGGACCACTGGTGGGGTGAGGCTGCTCAATAGAAAGGGGAAGAGCAGGGTTGAGTGACTTGTAGGGGGAAATGAGGATGCAGGGGAGGGAGCTTTAATTAGGGAAAGGGGGGTGAAAGAAGGGTAAAATAACAATAAGGATTCAACAAAATAAGGAATCATATTATTACCTACCGAAAATTACATATACGTCTGTGTATACATATAATATACAGTTTAATTGAAGGATTCCCATCTGGGTTGTCAATGTTCCCCCCCCTCCAAGATCCATAGACCATCTAATAAAAACCTCAACACCAGGCATGAGAAGGTCCCTTTTGAGTGTTGGTCAGGGTCGCCCAAGAGACATTATAGGCTTTTGCCATTGCCTTTGGTTGCCTGACTTTCAGAAGTTGAAGGCAAGTCCCTGTGGCTGAAAACTCCATGTACCTAGGGCACAGGACTTACAGAAACCAAGCTGTGAGTCCCTGAGTTACAGCCTCCTCCCTGAGGACTAGTTTCCATGACACCAGAAGACAGCATGCAAGCTTCCAAAGGAGGAAAGCAACCAATAGTCCTACCCAACTATGATGCCTATGAACTAAAACAACAACCAGCATGAAATATACATGTGTGTGCAACAATATATATATATATATATATATATATATATAGGAAATCATGTTTGGTACTGGAAACCTAGGCAATAACCTGGGCTAGTGAAGTCATGAACACTGGAGGAAAGCCTACAACTACCGCTTTGCTAAACCAGCACAATTCCTCACAACATTCTAAGTATTTATCTTTATATCCATAGG